GAATTCTGGGAGTTGAAGTCCACTCATCTTAAAGTGGCTAAGTTTGGACAACACTGGCATAAGGTGATACGTGCACTGTAGGTTTGTGTGCATGCACACAGAGATGTATACTGATTATTCTATCAGTCAGTGCATGAGGCAAGCGCTATTGATTGATCAAAGGAAGTCTAATATTCGAGGAGGACATGACTGGCCATGAGTATTTGAAAGTTTCACCCCGTTACCATTGTGACACCAATTGGCCAGTTAATACACAGTTCCCACACTTCAGTTCCAAAGCTGCAAAGATGAGCAGATTCAAAACAAAATTGCCTCTGTTTCCCAACACTAGGGAACAATAAAGCTGCTCCAAGGATTCAGAGTCATTCTGGAGGTTACTAAGAACTTCACTCACTAATGCAAGCAGGAACAAAGCAAGAGAGTCCATTTGGAGTTGGCCAAAGTCTCCCTCTAGCTACCTATATGCTCCTTTCTTCAAGTTTCTCAGTTGCCCAGAAATGGGCACCTGGAAAAAATCAATTAAAGGCCAGAATATCTGGGGAAAGAATACCTGATCTCTGGTATGTATGATTATTAGAAACATCCCCTAAAATTTAAACAAAATAAGGAAGACTAGAAAAACAGGATCAAAAGTAGGGGGCATGGACAATGGAAGGGGTGTGTAGGGAGAGCTTGTGGGGTTGATTAGATAACATATGCTACGTTAGACTCCAGGGTAGAAGTTTTCCATGACTAAACTAAGTGATTAACTTGTGTTTAGGCTGCACCATTTCAGACTCTAGATGGGTGACAGGGCTAACAAATCTGGGCTGAAAAATCCAATGCAGTAAAGAACAGTCATCTGTACTTTTGGAACAAAGATACTAAACGAGGGAAAATATAAATATACTTCCAATCCTGTACTGCTCTACTAATCCCAACACCCTAACTTTTTGTACACATAATACTTCCTGTACTCGGAACAGATACAACCAAGATGAAGGTTTTCAAGACCCTTGTGAGAATCATTGTGATAACAAAGTCTTGAGAGAAACTTATTTAAAAAAATCTACCACTAGTCCAAAAAGTATGACTGACAGTAAGTAAATCAGATGGAGAAGAGAATCACATAAACATATCACCTTTTGAACTAGGAAAAAGAATGGAAGTATCGAATAGGAAAAGTGTACACATGTCCACTCAGAAGCAATTTCCATTGTTTTCAATAGTGGGCTTGCACATAAAAAGGAAAACTTTTCAATGAAAGACCAAGGACCACTCTATCTTCATCAACACATGACAACTAATCTTGGGTAAAGGCAGCCTTTCCAACTTCATACCCTCAAGTTGTGCAATGGCTGCAAGTCCCAAAATTTCTACCTGTTTGCAGTCCTAATACACCTGGACAGAGCACTAGGATCTGTAAGGCAGGGTCAAACATAAGAGTTACCCTGCTGAATTGGAACAAATAATCATCTAGACTAGGATTCAGTGTCACACTATGGCCAACCACTGAGAAGTTCATAAGCATGGACAGAAGGAAAACAGCCTGCTACAAACATAGAAGTGGAATGAACTAACACTATGATCTGACACATGTTCAGGCATTCACCTGTCGCTGTGCCTTTTGGCATATGCCAACATAACTGTCGTAAATCTGGGTCAACAACATCTGCATCGATGACACCTGGCCAAACTGATTCTTACCAAAATGAACACAGGGCAAGTCACCAACCAGCAGCCTCCCAGAAATGAACGTGCATCAAATAATTGAGATAAGGCTGCAGTCTTATCTCTCTTCAAGCTTCAAGCTCAGGCACTAGTTTTACCGTTGGCTTAAAGAACGCATAGGAAGCAAAATGCTTCTCACTATTTGGACACTGCAAAACGAAAACACGTATACCCTTTTTTTTAAAAAAAAAAGCATCATAAAAATTAAGAAAAAAAGAGAAAAAAGAATACCTTTTCTATTCTATTTTTGCCACCTAAAACTTATATTAAAAATGCAGCCTAAAGCACTGTAACCATATAAATGCACAAAAACCTCCAATAAAAAAAAAATGTAATATATTCATTTTTTTTAAAGGCTTGTTCTGTCTTTCTCTAGCATCTACACAATTTCGCTCTCCCTCCGTCCCTTTTTCTCCCACACAGCATTGGGAAACAATCCCAGAATTACATTTCCCCTCGTCTGTGGGCTTTTGCTGCAACAGCAGCACCTTCTTCCTCCTCTTCTTCCTCCTCTTCTTCATAGTTTTCATCATGTCCTTCTTTCTGTTGCTTTCCTTCCTGAACATCTTCCTCCTGATCAACTCCTTCACTCATCTTTTCTTCAGCCTGGAAACCCAAAGCGTGGTTGTGGAAGAGACACGATTTCAGAATACAGATTGCAAAAACAGAGAAAAGGATACAGCTTTGGGAAGAAAAGCTAATACATTTTTTAGATTAAATTCTTACAGTATTCTAATTGTTACAGCAAAATATATGAAAAAGTACCATCAGTGGGTGGTAGGCTACTGAAATTGCTTCCCTCCCCTCCAGAAGACTTTTGGTAAGTAGGAGAAGATTCAAAGGGCTGTGAATAATGAAATTAGCATCTCACACCTTTCATTCTGTACAGGGGAAACAGCCCTCTGACGTGATAATAGAAATGTGCACATTGTACAGCTCCCTAAACTACATAATCTGAAATTCTGGAGCCATTCAACCCAGTGCTTTTGGCAAGATCCTCAAAACTCCACCAAAAGTCCCTGTGAAATGATAATGTTTAATTTGACAGGCAAAATTATTAAATGCATATGGGTAATCATGTTAACTATAATTAATATTGATGTCAGTTTTATTTAAAAGTAAAGTAGTGTGCTATTGCTTTCTCCTGACCTGCCTACTTGGACAGGATGATAATCAAAAGCCACGTGTAACCCTCGTCTAAAAGAGCTTGCACCACCTCACCCTTATGGGTCTTTTGTTAAGCATTTTGTTAATGCTGTGCAGATTTGTGATAGAGTGCTTCACAGACAATCCATACATCCATAGCATTCATGCTGGCTTCACTGCAATCTAATTAGCAGTCACTTCTTTATTTCCACACAGGCTGTGTCATTGATTCTATTGAATTTGGCCTCTGTTGTGTTTGTAAAAGTTCTGAAAAGCTAATATGAGGCTCCAAAGTGTTCACCGATCCGAGCACTGATTAAAACTTACTTTGCTTTAGTAAAATAACAGCATTGCAGTGGCTCACACTGTCCTCACTGTTTTTATCTCAGTAGAAAGAGTAATAGTTAAGAGAATCAATGGACAAAGCACAAAATTTTGGATCTAAGTCCATTTCCAATTACAGCACCTCCTTCACTTTACTATTTAATTGGATATTGCCTTCCCACACAGTGCTTACATTTTCATCATTTTCACCGTATGGATCTTCACCATTGTGTTCCAACCCCCTCTTCTTCTCCTCAGGCAGATCTCCTTGGGCCTATTAAAAATATACATATTTAAGAACAAGGTGATCACAGAAGATAAAGTACCCATTTGGGTTATACTGATACTGTACCTCTAACATCCAGTATGCCTTTCAATACAAATGGCTAGGGAACATGAGTCAGAAAGATGCCATTTTGCTACTAGTACCACTACTATGATTACCTTTATATAGTACATCTTTACTCTGGGAGTTCAACAAATCTACAACAACTCAGTGAGGTTGGTTGGGCCAGTATTGTATGTCACGACTGGCTCATCAAATGAGCTTTACATTCTAACAGGAATTTGGACCATGTTAGACTTGGACTGGTTCTCCCCAGTGCCAGCATGAAGTAGAATTTGAAGGGGGCATTTAGAACAGCAAGTCCAATCCCTGCTAAGTGTAGGAGTCCAATTTAAAGTATTCCTGATATTTTATCCAGACATCTATCAATGGAAGGCTCGTTACCTCCCTTTGCACTTCCACTGCCAAACCGCTCTCACAATTAGAAAGTTTTCAGCCACATCTGGACCACTACACTGTAACAGCTGTACTGTGTCCATTTCCTGTTTACAGACTTCCCAAAGGAATTGGGCTGGCCACTCTGGGAAACAGAATGCTGCCTGGACTTCTGGAAGAAGAACTGCATACTGAAGATGGCTCCTCAAAAAGCCAAACTGATGACAGCAGCAAAGAATGAAGAGCCATCAAGAAGAACAGCTCTTCAAACATCTCCAGACAAAGGAGAGGCTGAGAGATCACCTAACAAGTGCTCCAGACAGTTGCTCCTCATGAGGAAACCACAAGATAGTGGCCTCCAACAGGTTTAGAGCTCTGGGAGATGCGGGAATGGCCATCTTGCTCATACCGTGGTCAGCGCCTTTGAAAGGACACTAAGTTTGCATACTTCCTTTTCTAATCACTTTTGGAAATTGCTTATTAACTGCTTTTCAGCTATTAGAAACCTTTGGATCAACAAGTTTGAAAGCACCAGGTGAGTTTGCCTTCAATCCTTAATGAAAGAAAGTTTTAACTACAAACTTAAGAACTTAATTTTTTTTTTTAATATATAGCAAAAGATTGATTAAAACTTTGATTCAGAAAGCTGCAAATGGACTAAGGGTCCAAGTAAATTTGAAATAAGATTTTGGAATTAATTATAAAGAATTCTTCCCATTGGAAAATGCTTTTGTTTTGAATTTTTTTTTTTAAGTTAAGGTTTTAAACATTGGACACTAGAGGGAACTAAAGATTTTAATTAAAGGAAAAGAACACGCAAACTTGACTAACAGGTACAAAATGGCACAAAATATTCTAACACTGGAAATACTGAAGGGCACTTTTGAAAAATGGAGTTTTTTAAAAAAAATTGGAGGCCACCCTTCTCCTTCCCTGCCTCCAATTCAGTAAATGGTTAGTGAGAACACTCTTGCCTGAATGCATCACTTTCAGACTTCTATGGGCTGTCTACTTTTCTAGTGCTGTAGGTTGCCCATCCTTGCCTTCCAGAAACTACCTACGGACTATACATTACGCTGATGGACTTGTACGCCTGCCACCTCAGAAATAAGGACTTATGGTTCCACTCAAAGGATATTGCTGTATTTTTTTCTCTGTAATTTATTTCATCATTCAGCCTGCCCTTCCTCCAAAAAGCTCAGGACACATATATTCAACTCACCACCATAAATTATCCTCACAACAATCCTGTAAAGTACAGTTCATAAATTCAGGTTATTTACCTCTTCTTCTCCCTCTTCCTGGTACTGCTCATCAACATTGTCTTCCTGCTGATCCGGGTTGCCCACCACCTGCAGATAAATCAAACAGATTCTATTGCTCTTATTTCTGCAGCTCCAGAACTCACAGAAATATTATGCAGCATCTGCCTAAAATAAGTATTTACTTTTTAAAAAATAAAGGATAGGCACAACTACAGACAGGCTGGGCTACTCCAAAACTTGAGCTCACATATCACTGAGGAATTGTGCAGACATAACTTTGGTCAGTCTATTAACTGTGGTTGAAAGATCTGGAATAGTTTGATACACAGACCCATAAAATCAAACTGATACATGGTTTAATGTAGGGATGCTGGAAATATCTATCATGGATATCTTTTCAAGCAAAGCGGCTTTGTCTGCCAAAACAAAGTTTGTTGCGGTACAAATGAGCACATAATTCACTGAGTTCTTTAGCCTCCCCCGGAAATATTTCTCAACTAAAAAACCCAGGGTATTAAATGTGTATAGTTTTGCATTAAAATTTGCACTAAATTTTAATTTTAGATCTGCATTAAAATTGTATTTTGGCAAAGATGTATACAAAAATAAATGTAGATTTTTTGTGTGTGTTATTCATCCAGAATGAAGACCTATTTTAAAAAATGCAGAATCCAGAATTTTGATGGCACTAATGACTCAATACATATGATATATCAATTGGATTATCCACTAATTACTTCAATATATTCTGAGACTGAGACAAGAACAAATACATTATTAATTGACACTAAACAAACTGGATCTTCTCTTCCCAATTTTTTAAAAAATTACTTGCATTTACAAGGTTGATATGCTGCTCCAATCAACAACTGAGTTGCTTATATACTCCATTCAGTAATAAAAAATTTAAAAATAGCACAACAAACATAACAACAACAATGAAACAATACTAACCAGTTATCAAACTAATAAACAAAGAAATCTGAGAACTGGAAATATCTGTTAGCCAACTAACATTCACCTAAAGAAAGAATTCATTCCATCCTTCAGAATCGAAAGGCTTAAACAGCCAGATCTTAATGGTTTTATAGAAACCCAAGAATTTTGGGAGATAGTGTGTTATCTGGGGGGATGTTATTCAGAAAAGGGGGGCAGCAGAGAGGGGCAGGCTTCCAGGGTCCCTACAGATGTCATTCCCTAGGAGTAGGGACCAAGAGGGATCCCCTCCTCTTAAATCTTATCAGGTAGACAAAGGCCACTGGGAGAAGACATTCCTGAAGATATCCAGACCCACAGCTTTGAAGGGCTTTACAGGAGCTATGAGCACATTGAGTTGCACCCAGAAACCAAAAAGGTAAGCTGATCAGCTCTCAGAGTAGAGGTATTAAATGGATAAACTACCCATAACTATCTGAGTGCTATGTTCTGGACTAGCTGTGAGTTCAGAGTGGTGTTCAAGGACAGCCCCATGTAAAACACATTTCAGTAGTCTAAATGAAGGTTGGCCAGGCATGAGTGACTTTGAGTAGGGCCTCCTGATCCAGTACAGCCTGCAACTGACGCACAAGATGAAACTGTGGAGAGGCCTACCAAATGACAGCTGCCACCAAAATGTGTTACAACTTTTGTAATTTTTTAAAAATCATAGTCTGGAAGCAATTGGACCGCCCAGGGTCACTGGGAGTCAGGTGGCATATAAAGTTAATAAATTATTATTTAGAAATGCACTGAAAGTTGCTGTTGGGTATGCATAGTATTACACTCTTTTTATCTGACGAATGTGTAAGAATCTGGAACACAGCAATTATAATTAAATTAATATATGCATGCTTGAGTAAATGATATGGATATCTTTTGGTAACAATAAATTCTAGGATAATTTCCACCTCTAAACTCCTTCAGTGATGTGAAAGGTGATACAGTGTTTAGAAACGTGATTACTTAATTCAATATTTATTCTTAAATGCTTCTCTCTTTCTCTTGATCTCTATCTTTACAGTATAATGAATTTATCCAGAGGACAGGAATGAATTCAGCTTTATTGTCTAGAAATTATAATGTTAGTTTCTATGTATTAGAAGAATCAATGTTGAGCATGAAAGAATCAATGTCCTTTTTTTACATTTTTTTTAAAGATCAGAGATGTTGGATTAAGTATTTCTTCTTTCAAAGACAGTGTCTCCCTGTAACACACACACTTTAAGCTATCACCAATATCTGCTAATGAAGTAGACTGTAACACAGTATTTACTCTGTATTTCAACAGTAACAAATACTCAGAAAGTGGTTTTGAGCACCTAGGGCAGGAATAAGCCAGTTCTGCTGGCTCAAGGGTGCAGTATGGCATATAGTGGGCCACTCTGTAAAAGTGGGTACGGGGGGTCTTGGAAGGGTATTTGGGGAGACAAAAGGATACTTTAACTCCACCAAGATTTAAAGGCACCCAATTTTCCCAATAAACTGCCTCCCCAACCCCCCCCCCAATACAAAAAAGGGCTGAACAGTTTGTGCACAGCCATGCAAGAGGGCTCTGGACTGCACCACATTATATAAATGCTTCAAACAATCCTTAGAAATACTTACAGTACCTTTCTGCTTCCTCCTAGGATGTAAAATAGAGGCAGTGACAGAGGAGAGAGGGACGTGTTTGAGCCATCTCTCCTCAAAAACAGGATTGAATGAAGAAGCTATGGACGCAGGCCTCTGGGGAGTGGGGGGAGTAAATAACAAAATGTGTGTCATGACACAAAAACTGTGACTTATGTACTTGTGTCATACATGGGGACACAAGTAAGTCAAGGTGAGATTTGTGACATGACATCACCAAGGGCATGTGGTCATTTTGCAGGAGATACCTGCAGCTGTGTTTAAAAGCGGCAGAGCTTCAATCTCTATTTGGGGGGGGGGGGGAATGTTCAGGATACATGCTGTCAAACAGCTCAACACCATCAGCAATTTCTCTGAGAAGAGAAAAAGACAGGCCCCTCCATTTTGGTATGTTCCAAATATGTTCCTCTATTATCATTGGCTGTAAGTGGATGGTTGGCATAGATTACTCCCCAACTCTTAATTAAAGACATGGGATCGAGTGATGTTACTTCAATGATGGTTCTAAGAAGGTCTTAATATATTTTGGCTTTCATTTTGAAAAGAAAAATGTCATTAGTTTGACATGTGAAACACGTTTTCTGATGTTTAAAGCTCTATTATGAAACCTCTTTCTCCAAGGTACTCTGCAAAAACATTAAACTATTCATTTAGTTGATGTGTTAAAATCATTTTGTTCAAGCGGGTTTCTAGTGATTTAATAAATTGAGCTATATTATATGTTGCTGGTTTTTTTTAAAAAAAAAAACCCCATAATTTTATTATGTCTTATGGCTGTTTTGATTCCTATTTGTTCCTTAATGGCTTTTGAGTTTGTCAAGAAAGGTGAGATAAAAAGTTCCAAAGAAATACAACAATAAAGGTTGCTTTCAAATTTCATCATACAAAAGGTAGTATATTCAAATGTTAATAATATGCATATACTGCTCTCAAAAATAAGTTCACAAGAGTTTCAGTTATTTGGTAATTGGGAGTACTGGTTATGCTGCTAGACTCACTGTAACATAGTTGACTACTACATGAGCAAGGCCTGGGCTCATGCATTCCCCCTTGGGGTATCTGCAGGGTATAGTAAAAAAAATGTCAAGATGGCTGCCTCAGCAATATAATTGAAGCTCCACCCATTTATGTGTATTGCACAATTTAAAAAATGGTAGAGCTTCAATCGCACCATCATAGCATCATTTTTAATTAAAGCTATTATTTTGTCAGAATTGGGCTGTGGGAACTGGGTTTACACACTGTGCTAAGCCATGGTTCATTGAATACACTACAACTGACTAGGGTCATACAACTTAAGCTATAAAACAAAGCTTACAGACCGGAACAGTTGAGTTTACCTAAACTGTTAACCAAACCAAACACCAAATGGCTTAGGGTGATGTGTGAACTCAGCTTAACTTTCATTCCAAGTACAGAAAATACATCATATTGTACTGCATAAAATCAGTGGAAACTTGCTTAGGAGGAGAAAGGGAAACAGGTTCATGCATATAAAACTAAACTAAGTTTTACTTATACCAAACTTCCCCAACTATGATATCGTTGGCCACGCCAGTTGAGAATTCTGGAAATTGTAATCCAATATATCTCGAGAATACTATGTTGGGGACGATTGCCTTACATGTTTTTTTGTGTACTTGTTGGTTGGCAGTTTAATGTATCTGAATCACATAACAGCACTGCTTTCATTCATGCAATTCACTGCTGGATACTGTATTGATATTCACACGTAAAACAAGGGAGGAGATTTCCCCATTTCTCCCTCTGTTTTGTGATTCTAATTACCTGGCAGAGTTTGGCAACAGAGTGCTGCTGCTTTGCAATTCTTCCCTTTTGGATTTCTGAACTTCTCATAAATAATTTGTAGACACAGCTTCCTTCAATTTCTATTCTCTATTGATTTCTTCCCTGCACCCCTCCCCTGCTATTCAGTTCAAGCTACAGATGCTCACACATGTTGGTGTGCACGAAGCATAACTCATAAAGGACAGCTAATGCAATGATGCATACAATTGCATCCAGATTCCTTCTGTGCCCTGCATTTCATCAAAGATGCACAGGTGCATTTGGTAACATGAAGTGGAGTGGAAGAGGGAGAGTTATAAATGAACAGAAGATGGAAGACTTCCGAGATTGATTTCAGAAATTTTCCATGTTCATCTGGAAGAAAGATGAAAAAGTGCATGGGACAAAATAAATCCATAAAATGCTAACTCAATAGGAAATCTAAATTTCTCTAGTAGTCCACAATGACTAGCAGATGAGCCTGAAGATCTTAGGATGTACACACTGTCTTATGTTTGCAATGGTTCTGTCACACATGCATGATATTACTTGAAGCTACAATCATTTTATGAACAGAGTCTGAACACATAGCCATTGCGTTTCACAGACTCACCACCAAATGCTCTTCCATTTCAGAATTCTGTTGTTTCTGGTTATTTGGTTTTAGCTCCTTATTCTCTTCAGGTAGATTCTCTTCCCTCTCTTGCTCTGCTTCTTCAAACTCATCTTCTCCCTGATTGTTGGGATCATCAGCTGGGTTGATATCATCCACAGCTGTCTTCTGCATTTACAAGATGAAGAAGTCAAAATACTCAGCAACAACACATTCACTACAATACTACCAATGCCACTTAGGCTTAATATATCATTAACTAACTGGCAGTTTCTGGATATACTCAGAATATGTCTGTATATCTGAGCCCTTCAATACAAGGCTTGTATAATTTGTTCATTGTAGAAATTTCTATTCTGCTTTTCTTCCATTAGAGAAATACAACATGTCAGCAGCATAAATGCAGAGATGAAGACAGTATCAAATATGATGATAAATTATTTTAAAATAACAGGTAAAGCAAGCAGAACAGAAAATAAATTCAGATACAAATTCCTTTTAAAAAATCAGGTACAGTATTCATCTTATTCTTTGTATAATAACAGTACTGCAAATATAAGAAACCCAGTGCCCTCCAAATATTTTGGAGTACAATTGCTGTTTGGGGATAGTGAGAATTATAGTCCACATTGTCTTCAGGAATCTTGTGCATGAGCACAAGCAAGATTTAGAATGATGAACAGACTCTATAGGATGGCAAACACAAATCCCTCACCCATTTCCTATGTTGTGCTATGCATACAGCTAACTTTTTAAAAAAAATTCCCACAACATCCACGGAAAGCGGATAATACTGAAATAATGATGGAGTTCACACATTGGATTAAACCATGTGTTTAATGTTTGGTTTTGCTTTAGCATAATGTAAGAACCTAGCCATTATGATTATAAACCATGATTTACGGCTTGACATGATGTGTGAATGACTGCCCCGAAATCACTCAATGGGCTTTATGACCAAACATAAGTGGATTCACTCATCATAGTAAACCAAAAGATGGTTTGTTTGACATAGGCTTAGTTTGCTGTTTGAACTCAGTAATTATGTTATGTAAATAAAAACTGTGGCTTTGCATGATGTGTGAATCCGACCATAGACTTGATAGTCAAGTCCACTCAGTGCATGACTTATTTTGCCATTTGAGCTGCTCATTCTATGAGTGTAGTTCTGTCTTCTCATCTTGCAAATTGGCCTTCATGAGCGAAATTATAACAACAAAAGATGGGTGAGTACTTAATGCATTAAAGCCATCTGAATTCACCTCTTCTCAATATGAAGCTTCATCTCGTAAGTTAATGCAGTGTAAGCCTGATCTTGGAAGTTATTATAGCTACAGAACTATAAACATGCAAGGCAGGATGAAATCTTGTGCTTATCAAGGAAATAACTGGGTACCTTAGGCAAGTAACCATCTCTTGCCCTCAATACCCATGCAACTGATTTTATGCCCATGTATGTCCCTGGATGGCATTCTAAGCATATAATTACATTCTTTTTATAGTCTATCCCAGTGTTTCTCAATCTCAGCAATGTTAAGACGTGTGGATTTCAACCCCCAGAATGACCTGCTGGCTGGAATTCTAGGAGTTGAAATCCACACATCTTAACGTTGCTAAGGTTGAGAAACACTGGTTTATCCTCTTGAATTGGCATTTGTTTAGAAAAATGTGATATACATCTTTGTTGAAATCAAAAGGCACTCTAAACACTTGGTATAATTTAAACACTAGGCGCTATTATTCAACTCTCATGTACAGCTCTTCTTTACTTTCTCTCAAAAACACTCCCTGGAGAAATGGGTCTTAAGATACTGCTTTTCTTTTCATAATGAACCAAGATTCTTCACCTCTACACACACTGCTCTTTTCTGTTTTCAAACTGCCAGGCTCAGTTATCGGCTGGGGTTAGGAGTGAAAAAGAGGCATCAGTAGTTGTATGGGTAACTGGCAATCATTACTCTCATTTTTGTTTTCCCCAAAGTCCCCAAAATGATCATGACTTCAGGCCTGACCAGCTTTATGTTTACCTCTTTTGGGACAAGAAGTAACATATGTCTGATACAAACTACTGTATGGCTATAGTGTGCGCATACACAAATACATATTCCCTCTTGGGATAAAAAGCATTATATAAAGCACAGAAGGGTAAGAGGTAGTGACAAAAAGAATATATTTGTTTTGCAACTGATCCTCATACATCTTCTCTATATGACCAAGGCACCTCTACATTTTTGTACTGGTCATTCATTTTTGTATTCAGTCCACGTTGATCACACATTCATTCTTGACTGTATCCCTTGTTGCTTTAGCAAGCACACTTCTTAAATACTCCATTCCAACTGTGTTCAGCTCAGTTTTATATTTCTCCTGTTATACCCAACTCCCACTTTCATTTAAGGAAACGGGAGGAATCATATACAGAGTCAGTTTCATTCATCAAGCAGTAAACAATACCCTAATCAAGGAACTACCAGAGAGGGGAAAAATAAAACAAAACAAAACCCCCACCAACACTGGCAGGGCATGACACTATATAAACAGAGAGCAAAGCCCATTCCATTCTAGCACTGAAGATGTTACCTAGCCGGGTAATGAAACATTTGCAAGAAAACAGCCAAGCTCAGAGAACCCCAAGGATTCTCCAGTTTCATTTCTTTCAACAAATACTAATTCCTTGCAAAAGATCACATACCACTACCTTTTTATCAGCACTTGATTGATTTTTTATTAAGTGCCATCAAGTTGGTATCAACTCTTAACAGCCACACAGAGAGATTTTCTCCGGAAGGATCTATCCCAATCATCTTCCATCAGTGCACCCACCTTACTGCTGGCTGTCCTTTTCTCTTTCATCTTTCCCAGTATTAGAACCTGCTCTAGAGAGCTAGATCTTTGCATAATGCATGCAAAGTATTACAGTTTAAGCCTGGTCATTTGTGCCTTGAGTGAGAACACTTATTGACTTGCTTGGTAATCTATTTGTTTTCTTGGCTATCCATGCTATTCTCACTTACAGCAGTTACAATTCTTAAAATTTATCCATCCATTTCTCCATCTTTAGTAAATATTCTACCAGATATACAAATTTATCTACTTGCTCTAGTTTTTCACCATTTATTGCAATTATTTCACTCCATTATTTTGTCAAACACAATTACTTTGGCCTTCAGTACATTATTTTTTCAGATCCATATTCTTCATTGTATCATACAATCTAATGGTTGTTGAAAATTTGGGTTCTTAGCCAATATAATCTGTGTACAAAAGTATATACATATTCACTTTCCTGACACACCTCTAACAACACCACAACTAGTCCTTATCCATAAATATATTAAGCAATCATCATTTTTGTCTTGTTCGTTATTCAGTGTTGAACCATTCATGAAGCATTCCATTTATTCTCATGCACTTTTATTCCATCACATAGTTATGACCACAAGCAGCAACCAACCCTCAAACCCGTATTCATGCAAAACATTCCATAATTCAACCTTATTTGTTTCATCACATGCTTAGTCTAAATCAACAAATGCAAAATAAACTTTCTTTCACACAGCACTACATTTCCTAATGACTCACTGAAGAACAAAAATCTGGCCTGCACATTCTCTTCCACAGAAGACCTGAGTATGCTTGAGGTAAAAGTAGGGTTTGTCATACAGGCCAAAATGTGACCAGTATTATATCCTTACTGTTAGCATGGAATGCACCATCTGACATAGGTACAACAAAGCTTGGTAATATAGTCAACTTTTTCTAGACTTTACCAAAAGTGTTATGTGAAATAATTCAGAAGGGATAGAAGTAAGGGCAAGGCTATTTCATTATAGCTGATGAGAGACCAGCTACTTTCAGCCTTCATTCAGTCATTGCTTGGTGGCAGCTGCAGAGCAGAGAAAGAAAGGAAGAGGAGCAGAACTATTCCATTGCCTCTGCTCAAAAAACAGCTGCTTTGGGTAATTGCAACTTCCACCTTACAAGCAGCCACTCCACCATTTTATATGAGCAGTTTTCCTCCCTGCTGGTTACTAGAAAAAAGTTTTGGTACCAAAGGTAATTTTTTTCCCATGCTACCTCTTCCTTGCCTATCTTCTCTCCTGCCCCCCCCAGACTGTATACCTGGGGAATAAGTTTGTTGTTATTTCAGTTTATCAGCTGTTTTTTGGGTACAGAATGGGGTAAAAATATATTGAATGAATGAACACCATAGCTAGAAAAGAATGTTTCTCTTAGAAAGTTGCTGAGAAGCAACCTTGAAGCATGCTACTGCCACTTACCGGTTCTTCAGTCTGTTTGTTCTCTGGCTGATCCTCCAGTTCTGGATCCTGTTGCTCATTTGCATTATTATGATCATCTTCTTCTACTCTGCTTGGATGCTGGTTCTGTCGCTCATAATCTAATTTAAAAAAAAATCCTCATTCCTTCTTCCCACAGTCAGGAAGTATCATCACAAGCTTAATCCCACAGTTGTAAGCACCATAAAACAGCATCTCAGCTTTGGATTTAGTATGAAATTTACACCACCACAAGATGAGATGGTGACACATTCCATTCATAAGCCAAGTGCCTTTTGCCTGTGTTAGATATGATCAACAAATGAAAATGATTTCTGCAACCTTTGTTATGTTAATGCTTATATTTTAAAATTATATTACATAATTGCTGTTTCAAAGTTTTTTTCCAGGTTAGGCCTTTTCAGGCAGAAGTTAGCTTAATGGTGATTTCATCTGTTTAAAATCTGTTTTTTATTTGTTTAGGGTTAAGCTCTATTGTGTATTATTATTACCTGTCTTAAATGGGATATAAATGGTATGACTAAAATATATGATAAATAAGGCAAATTGTTGATAGGGAAGAGAAGTATCACTTACTTTCATCTTCTTCATGAGCACCTGGTTCTCCTTGCACAACATCCTGATCTACGTTGTCATAATGGGATTGCTGGCTGAAATGATTGGAAGGTCTGTTTAATTCAGATTCATAGGGAGAGATCCCTTATTAATATATAACTTGTGGGCTGACTAATGCTATGTTTCCTTTTTGCTTTGGGCTAGCTTAAATTACCAACTAGGAGAGGAGTAAACAGAAAAATAAAAGTCAAACTATTCACTCAGTATAATATAGCTGTCTGACTGTAGTTCTCCCAGGCCTAAGACAAAATTCCTTCCTAGCCCTCCTTGGAGGGGCCAGGAACTGAACTTGAGACATTCCATCTCATCCATTCCTGTTCTGTCAGAAAAGCATGAGCATTCCCTCTGAGCCAAAGCCCATCTTATCAAAAGAGAAACATAAGAATATGCCTTACACTGAATTAGAGTACCAGATCATCCATCTCACCAGCTGCATAAGTGCTTTATGTAGAAGCATTCTCACCTACCTTAAATAATAGAAAGGTAAGCTGGGGTGGTAGAAAGCAGTGTGGGGTAGTAGTGAGCAGAGGGGGAGGGGGCAAACAATTTCATGATTTTGCCTTTTGGTAACTAGATGTTTTGTCATGGGCCATGCCATTCTGCATCTAGGAATGCCTTCCTTGTGACAACGATTTTGTGAGAACGACCCATGATATGTTCTCAAAATCCCAAACACCTCCATGGTACAAAAAGGGTGCTATCTCTGGTTTAAACAATGCTGGTAATAGGCCTGCCTTCTCCACAGGAAAAAAATCAGCACAAAAAACAGACAACAGTAATATGTCTCTGTGTGTATACGTATGTGTGTGTGTGTGTTTCTGTGTGTCTGTTGTCCATCTGTCTTTATCTGCACATAGTTTATACAAACAATGGTGAAGTCCAACAAACATTGGACCAATGCCATATTGGCATTTCAGGGATTCATAAAGGACAGACAGGCATTCTTTTGCAGACCATTTGATACGCAGAGTCCCTAATATAAAAAAAAATAAAAGTAACTTTTTGAGGGTGGCCATTACAAATGCCATCTTACAACACTTACTGCTCAGACAGGCAATTCATTTAGAGAACTGTCTGTTGCTCTCAGGCCTTCTTTATGTACCTCCTATCTACCATCCTGAGATGGAAAAGATTCAGAAAAGGACCAGCATTCTAAAAGTTTTTAGCAAATCTAGAGTTTCCCAAGGCACTAAACTTTTTTCCTTTCTCGGGGCTGGGAGGGTGGGGGAGAGAGTGTTGGCTGGAGGCCCTTTGTTTCAAAGACAACCTGAGCTGGTGCTTAAACTGTGCTTCATCCTGCTCTGCCTGCCTCCGCAGCATCAGCTCTCTCTCTTGAAGTTGCTGCTGCCGGTGCAGCTGCTCCTGAAGCCTCTCCTGATGCAGAGCCTCCTGACGTTCTCTTAGGCGACTGGCTTCTTCTGCTCTTTGGGCAGCCAACTTCTGTTGTTCCAGCTGCTGTTCATAAGGCGATTTGTACCTGGTTACAGTCTTTACTGTTGGTGGTTCCTGGTGGGACACATACAGGATCGCTCAAGTAATGTAACACTTTGTTTTGCATGCAGAAGGCCCCAGGTTCAACTTCTGGCATCCCAGAAAACATAGGAAAATGTATGCTTGAGACCCTAAAACAAGGGTTGCCAACTTGCAGCCTCATTTCCAAAGCCCCCTGTAATTCCAGCTTTTGGTAAGAACAGTTTATTACTGCCTTCTGCTTAGGAAAGGAGATGGGGAAAGAGACCTAATTAGTGGCATATAAAATACCAGAAAGACTACATGGCCCCACTCACATTTGGCTATGGCACCACCACTAATTACTTAAACTTCCCCCCTTCCCTGGGCTAGGTTTACATTCATCACACCCACCCACCACAGATTTTTCTCAAGACAAGGTATTCCATGATATAAAAAAGATTCCCCATTCCTTGAGAGCCAGAGAAGATAACATTAGGCTAAACGAGACAATAGTCTGAAGTGGATACAAAACAGCCCTTGAATGGAAAGTTCCAATACATCCTTTGGCAGTAGAAATCAAGGATGACTAGGGAGATGTCAGGTTTAGCCCAAGGAACTCCAAGAGACGATGCAAAATCAGTTCAGCTATGTTTATTAGCTACAACCTCTAGAAAGAATCTCCCAAAACTGAACCCCCACCCCCCAAGCCAACCAGCCACAACACCGTGAATTCCTCAGGGAGGTGCCAGCCTCATCCTCTTGTAGTTCCCATGCTCTTTCGGTGAACTAAGAAAACGCTTAACTCCCTGAGCCTGGCCTTCATAATTCCATTCCATCACAGGAGAGATGAGAATTCTTCATGTTAGTGAGATAGGTTAAATGTTTAAGTTTCTGTCATTTTATTCTTCCCTGAATGATGGGAAAAAACGTAAGAGGAGATAATCACTGGGTTCGTAGAATGTGTTACGCTATCATGTGGGTTGGGCTACATTTGTTATGAAAACCCATGATTCGCTTATGGCTTCATCTGTTACATGAACCTATTTTATGGTAGTTTTATACAATACATTGAAATAGTCCCCCCTGTGGTGTAATGGGCTGTGAGAATAACCTTGGGAGACAGAAGGAAGAGCTGCAGCCTAGATAATAGTCAGACAACAGATATCTCAGCCTACAAAAGGAAGTGGGGGAGAGAAAGCATCTCAGAAAGGACCATCTCTAGTTCTCTGGAGAGTAAAGGAAAGGGAGGGGACTAGTGCTTTCAGATTTGCAAGATTCTGTTACCGTAACCTTACAATAAAGGTAGTATTAATATAGTTTATTGTGTCTTATTGGATAAAGGATTAACAAACCATGGTTTAAAGTGCTACATACTTTTCCTTACTTTATTGAAGGATGGTACAGATATTTGAACATTTCTCTGTGCTCAAAGGAGAGCTAATCATTGGCTCACTTCAAAATTAATGTCTCATATATCATAAGAACTCTTCAACTTGAACCACAGTTCTGGTTTCCAGGACTGAGCACCAGGTCCTGTTGATATCAGCCTGGAACCAGAGAGGCCGAGGCTCAAGCCATAGTAATAAATGAGTAATAAATAAGTAAATGGTCTGACATATGTTCTAATGTCCAAGACAAGTTTTGACCTTCTGAAATTGTGTGCGATGTTGCACGGATGCATGTAAATGGCAGAATTAATTGAGCCACTCTTCTGGCCTAACCTATCTTTCTGAATGTTGCACGGATAAAGCAGGGGAGAGGGGATTGGTTCAATTCTGTTATAAGAAAAGGAGAAGTAGAATTCAAATATCAGAGAGCTAGTTACCAGTTACCATAGGGCTTTCCTTAATTTCATCTCTAATAAACAAGTACCCTTGGTATTCTCTTTAGTTCCTATCTAAGTATTAACCAGACCCATCTTTGCTTAGCTTCCAACATTAGGAGCTTTCATGATTTTTGGCAGTGCTTTGGGTTCTCTTTGCACCCTATAAATCTTTCATTTTTTTTTCCTGATAAAAGAATGTTTAAAGATTCCACATCACTCATTACCCAAGTCATGGGGCCGTTTGCTTCTAGAGAAGCAAATGGGCAAATGGCAAACAAGCACCAAGCTGGAGAGAGGTTCTGAGGACTCTATAACCCAGTCCTACTGGCATTAACACAGTGGCATACTGGAGAATTTTTCAGGTAACTAGTAGACCCAAAGAGGAACAATACAGACATTGGCCCAAACTTTGGCTTTAGGTTATTAATTTCAGAAGCCTGAAACACCAGGAGGACTTGGCAAACTGTATAAGCAACAATTTGAAAATTAGCTGAAACCAAAGAAAAAAGTATATTTTGGTGCCCCAAGATATGACCTAGAAGGCAGAAGCATCTCTTGACACTTCTATTTATAGTTCCACACAAAATGTGACCTGCATAAACTGTACCTCTGGGACTCTGGCTGCTGGCTGCATGTCACTTTTAAAGTCAAAGGGTTTGTCAAAATATTAAGTTATACCAAGGTGGAGGAAAGAGCACTCTGGAGTCATAAAGGTAAATCTGCAGGTAGAAAGTCTGCCTTTCAGACTTGCAAGATTCTGTTAATGTAACCTTACAATAAAGTAGAAGCAGTTCATCTGGGCATGCATCTTGTCTGGACTACATTGCAGAGCTGACATCGATCTTGCAAGTCTGAAAGTATGTTTCTCCCCCGTCGCCTTTATAGCCCAAGAAACTAGGGAGAGTCCCTTCTGAGATGTTTGTCACACCCACATTCCTGCTACTGGCTAAGATGCCTCTTATCTGACTGTTCCCCTGGCTATGGCTCTTCCCCCTGTCTACCAAGGTAATTCCCACATACCATTATATCTGCTAGTTTGTTAGAAATGCAATGAAGTCCAGGTTAGTTTCTATCCAGAAGCTTTTTCTTCCCCATTAATTACAAATTAACTCAACCATTGCAACTGGCAGGAGGGACCCAGAAGTTGCTGCCAAGCAATGATAACCTAAAATTCTCAACAAGCATGTTTTAATAATCAAATGTGGCCAATTTAGTCTAATTAAACACAGTGGGATTTACTTCCAAATAAACCTGCAAATAGTTCTCAGCAGGACCTAGCCAACCTTGGCCAATCTCAAAATTGCTAAGCAGAGTCAGACCTGGTTAGTATTCTGATGGGAAACCACAAGAAATCCTAGGGCTGTAGTCTAGACTGAGAAGTTAAAAAAAAAAAAGTAGTAGCAAATCACTTTCCTATTATTGCCACAGAAACAATATGAAGATATCCATGAAGCCACCAGGAGTCAAACTTGACTTGAGGAAGATTTTGCTTTTTTAAACGTGCAAATACTCATATAGGAAAGAAGGGCCTACCTGTGAATGGCTGTGTTCCCCGACGGTGTTGGTTTCTTCTTCAGTCTGTTCTTTCTCCTTCCATTCATGCTCTTCTGGGATTTGGTCAAGATCATCTGTTAAGTGTTCTGGTTGCCCAGCTTGCTCCATTTCTTCTTCTTCTAGTTCCTTTTTCTGCTCTTCTTCATCTTGCTCAGCGTGTTGCTCCTCATCTTCTCCCGCTTCTTGCTTTTCCTGAATATTTAATTCCCGCGGCACATGACCTTCCATCACTTTTCTGTCAGGATGAAAAAGTTCTGCTGTCTGTTCTCTTCCTTCCCTAGGGATTACTTTAACAGCTTCTTCTCCCCCTTGTGGCTGCTCAGCATTTTGCATAATCTACAATAATACAAAACATTAAATCTGAGAGATTAGTTTCAAATAACACGCTTCTGGACTGTTTACTTTAACAGCTTCTTCTCCCCCTTGTGGCTGCTCAGCATTTTGCATAATCTACAATAATACAAAACATTAAATCTGAGAGATTAGTTTCAAATAACACGCTTCTGGACTGTAAACTGAACATCAAAGGATTTAGTTCCTGTCAAGTTTCCAGTAGTCTGATGTGGCAGTTAAAATGTTGGGCTAAGACTGGGGAGAACCTGGCTTAAACCTCTCAACCACAGAAGCTCACTGACTTCAGACCAGTCATTATCGCTCTGCCCAATCTACTTTGCAAGATTGTTGCTGTTTCTTTTTGTGGTTTGCTGTTATAGGAAATAACTGGAGGAGGAAGTTCTTATGTATGGTACCTTGAGTTACTGGAGGAAAGTCAGAATGTTTATCTAGTCAGGACATAAATCTGGATAGATACACTGGGAAAGTCAGAATATACATCATAAAATACATTTTTTTCTACAGTGATTGGGGTAGGGGGGAAACAGAACTGCCTTTGAAGGTGGTTTAAGAAATTTTACCTGGTGAAAAATACAAAATTCAGTGTTACTTTTTACTGTTAAAGCACTAAATAGTTTAGAATTAGGTTCTCTATGAACTGCTTACATCCACACAAGCCTGCATAGGTTTTGTGACTGTTCACCCTTCTGAAAATAGATCTATTTAAGCTGAGAATGGCTAAAGACAGAGCTTTTTTGATGCTGGTTTCCCAGTTTAGGAAACGATCTCCCTAAAACAAATGTTCTATTTTTGCTTACAAAGGCCACGAAGACATAATTACTTCCATTCATCTTTGATGTGAGCTTTGTTGAACTTAGGAACTCACAGTCCAAGGTCTTCAAATGGACCTTTGAACATGGCCCCAGAAATCCTTCAAACAGCTGCTACTGAATTATGTTTAACATGAAAGAAATGAATAAAACACATTTGTTATAATTAATATTATAATAACCATGTGGGAAATAATTATAAGAACTGTATTTAATTATTTCAATTTCAATTTCAGCTGTGTTTGTCTTAAGCCTACCCATATTTCTGTCCTACCCATTTGTGACTCTTCCTGCTCTTACCAAAGAGGTACTCAACACAAAGGGGAAGAATGATTGCTGTCCTAAAAATGTATATTCCTGGTATTAATTGTTTATCTTGTTCAGAGGAAATCCAGATTGTTGACTAAACTGATATATTTTACACTATTTTTTAAAAAATGTAATTAGGATGAAGGATCATTTTTTAAACATTAACTGCAATTTTTGTCTATAATTTCTTGCTGTAAGGAATTCCTAAAGAGAGTACTTGTGTGCCCTGGTACACATCTTACATAATTCACAAGCTAGCCCTCAGTCAAGTCACATTTTCCAAGATGAATAGCCTAAGGATTAAGAGTGGAAGAAGGAAGGTAAATACAATATACAGGGTACAACCTGTAAGGTCTAGGGAATCATGTTGCCATGTTTTATTAATGGAAATAGTCTCATGCACAAAGTGAGCACTTGCTTAGATGGAAATAATGATTATTGGACCTATTATGGAAAAATTGAGTGGAATCTTTACAGAACCTAATTATAGCCTTAACCTGTATGACTCTCTAACACTGTTTGGCTAGAAATTGCTGCAGTGTAATGCTAGACTTTTAACTTTAATCCATCACAATGTGAATAGATATTTAAGAATAAATTCACATGTACATATTTTGTCAGAGATAGGAGCAGACCTTTCCCATCACTTACTATGACCCTGGAAGCAGGGTCATAGTAAGCACAATCTGGAGGCAGTTTTAGCACTGAGTTCATTCCCATAGTCATGAATCAGATTGGTAAACCATCAAGAGCTGGGACATCAACAGTAGACATTCATGTGTGTAATTAGCCCTAAACAAACTCAATCTGCCTATGCAAATTTGTATTTTTGCTTCACAGGTAACGTCCCACATCAGTAATGTTTTTGGAACCTATTTTTCTCAATCCCACAATTCAAGTTTACTTCCAAGAGCTAGATTTTACCAATCTGAGGCAGCCCATCCTTGTCATTTATTCTTTCTTGATTTCATAATTTTTTTTCATCACAATCTTCGCGAAAAAAGAAAAAGAGAGATTTACACATTTTCATTAAAAAGCAAAACTGAAGCTTTCTCTATGCAAACAAGATGATACCTGGAATTTAAACTGCTTTCCCTTGCTTAAGCTGTAATAATGTGACATTTGGAAAGAGCAAAGATCTCTATCACTGGTTTATTAAACACAAGCATTCACAAAGGGACCGTAACTGATTATGCATGGTTGTGCATATGCTATGAGAGCAAAAAGGACACAAAGGTCTCTTTTCATATTAATTCCAGCCTGCACAAGCTAAGCTAAATCAATGCTGTGATTCATACTTTTACATTACAGACCACTAGCTTGCCTGCTCTTTTGCCAAGGACTGCATTTTCTTGATGCAATCAAGCAGCCTTCCAATTAAAGTGTCTCCTCCAGAACTGATGCAAATGGAACAGGGGAAGGGGGGGGGGGTCGACTGTGGACAGGTCAGCAAGTGCCAGGTAACAACATGCTCTCTCGTTACAGTTAAATACGGCAAGAGGGCCTTAGTTGCTGAAAATCAATGGAACATTTATCATTTTGTGGTGGAAAAAACTGAAAAACTGTCTTAAACCAGCAACAAATGTCCGAAATAGCCCAACCGGTAAATCCCGGCCTCATCCACGTGCAAGATGCTTTGCATCACTGCATACTGTGGTCTTGAGAGGGAGGAGAGAAAGGGAAAATAAGCAAGGAGAGACAGCTTCTTCTGCCCATCTTAGCTGTTCATGTGTCAACTGGCAGCAGCTCCTTCTCAGGTACAAAAGACAATTAAAAAGTGAAAGCCAGAAAAAAAGGAACCCAAAAACATTGAGGAAAAATCCTCTGTATCTGAAGAAACTCCCATCTCAAGAGCAGAAGAAAGCACAGACACCAGGTAAGGGGTGGCTGAGACAACTTCCACCATTTGGTGACCAAAGACAGGTCATTTTTCAGAAGTCAGGAAGATGCTCAATTCTTTGTAGCAGGTAACAAGTGTGTTTACACTATGGTAGGTAGGTGGGTAACATGGTGCCTACTGTTGGTAATATATCCCTGAACATCTCCCTTAGTGCTTGCCAGGCTCCCCTCTAAGCTGCCTGATGGATGGATGGATGGATGGATGGATGGATGGATGGATGGATGGATGGCATGGCAGGCAGGCAGGCAGGCAGGCAGGCAGGCAGGCAGGCAAGCAGAGTAAACCATTAGCCATTTATTTATGGATATATGTATTGATTAAATTTTACACCACCCAACTCCCAACAACTCTGGGCGGTTCACAAAGTAAAACACAGAAAAATAACAATAAAACAATATAAAAATAAAGACAAAGGAACAAAAGATGGCATCATGTTTATTTACAGAAATGGCTTTGAGCTCCACAAAGGTCCCAAAGGAGACCTACTAGAGAGTAGAAGTAAACCTGCACTTTCCTTATCAACCTGCTTTACACTGCAGAGATGATGAATTTTCCTTGTCAAGACAAAGCAGCTATGTGGTTCTCCTCAACAAGGTGCTCTGTATCACTCTGAAGCCTCAATTTGAAGTTCCAATATCAGGAAGTGACTTGCTCAACTGCAACTTGTACAAAAGTCACTGACTAGAAGCATCAGAAGAGCATTCGGCCCAAATGCTCAGAATGCATAGAAACTGACTCTAGATATTGTATCTACAAGCCCAAGCAAAGTATCTTCAAAGGATAACTTTGAAGCATTGTTGATGTGAACTACCCTTTGGAAGATTTACATAACCCTAGTAGAAAGTTTTCTGATAAATTGGTACACAGTGACTGGCCATATCCAATATAGCACCCATTTGTAGTATGTCCACCAGCTGCTTTCAAAATGTCAAATTGGGCTCCACACCACTTATTTACACCTACTGTGTAGGGTAAGATACTTGTTTTATTTTGATTGACAGATGCTGAGACTCCTCCCCTCCCCATTTGCTAGACCACACACCTAAACCAATTATGCTCTCAGCAAAATCTACCTGGGTTGGCATCCCTTTTCCAGAGAGTGAGTGTGGAATAAAATGGAGGCTTCATCTGTTTCATCCATTTTTTAATTTTAATTTTTATACACACACACACACACACAC